TTTATAACACCTGTCGGCTCTATATTTTTATTACACGACAATATCTTTTGCTTGAACAATGCTTTGCTAAACTGTGAAACAGAAAACAGAACGCGATAGCGGTATATAAGTCAAAAACTGGCAAAAATATTCCTTATATACAAAACAGCTTAAGAAATGACACTTCAATCCAAACTGAATGCAAATATCTAGAATTGGAATCGTAAACGTGAACTGCCTCCAAGTCAGAAAGTTGATAATTGCGTAATCATCGAAACTTTCCGCGTATCATAAAGATGAGATTTATGAAATTATCAACTAAGCCTATTCGCTTGAAGAGATTCCAAACGAAACTTTACAATCTGAATTGCTGTGATTATAATATTATTAAAACGTTTAATCAATGTGTGTGTGACAGAAGTATAGGACATTTTTATTATTTCTTTTTATTTATTTAATAATTTATGTACACACAGACAGCACAGAGGATAACACATATATTAAATAAGAGTACAAAGGTGCTACTTATTCCTGTTGGAATTTCTTCCAGTAGACCTGAGACAGGAAATCTTATTAAAACAAAAGACACAATGTGTAACAGAAAAATAAGAAATATGTATAAAAAAAAAACTAAAGCTAAATAATAGAGATAACTATATTATAAATAAATATAGTATAAATATAAATACTTAATATATAATAATTACAATAAATAAAACACACACATAGAAAATAAAAAAACGTGTCAGCAGGTACTCATGAAGAAAGGTAATGGTCCTTAATTAGTTTTTTAAAGAGAGCGATAGATTTAGCGTCTCGAATGTTAGGCGGCAGAGAATTCCACAGTCTCACAGCATAAACGGTGAAGGAATAGTATTTTTGTTTTAATCCGCACTGAAATTCACTGGGAGAGGCCTACGTTCATCTGTACGTGGACGTTTTGTGAATGATACGATGATATCTATTTACAGTTTAGGATTTATTTGAATTAATGATAATATTATTTAAGAATTAGGCAACAGTTACTATTACTTTTATTTAAATATCATAATTTATATAACTACATAAATATTTACAACTTAAAATTAACTACAACTAAACTATTAAATAAAAAGAAAGTAAAAGAAAACAACAAAAATTATACCCTTAATTTAGGCGTCAAAGTATTCGTCCGCATCACTATCACAGGGGAAAGTTCCCAGAAGACTGGCAGCATTGCCACGTTGAATGGCAATGCTTATTTTCTGTCCGAAGAAAAAGCCAGCCCTCTGGTCACGTGTAGAGTCGATAAGCCTACGGGCGATGTCTTTAAACACAGAGTGTGCACTGGGACCCCATGGCCCAAGTGTTTCGACCCCAAACGGCTCAAAACAGTAGTTACCCACTAGATTTGAATATTTACGCCGTTTGAGGGCCTCTGCCGCGGAAGCAGCTGCACCAACGCATGCAGCGGTGCTTAAAAGATGTGATGGCGCAAGGGTGTCTACACACGTCGCGTCCCACACCAAAGGCCTACCCATCTTCCAAGGCAGCAACGACATACCATCTGGTCTTTTGCCGTCATCACGTACCAAACCATTAGGTTCTAATACGGCTGGTACACCGGCTGAGGCAAGAGCACGACGAATGATGTCGTTGATGCTGGCATGGCGAGCTATGCGGCCTGCACTTCTGCAACAAGAAAGACCATGGTGTCCCAAGCCATCGACTCTTTCTCCACAGTGACAATAATGCGGAGAAACACAAGGAGCACCTAAACGTAGGCATACAGCTAGGCGGAACGTTATGTCATCCAACATAGTACCTATGAAGGGTGACGGGAGTGCCTGAAGCCACAATCCTGATTCCCATTCTCCCACAGCCAATAAGCGAGCTCGCTCTGCAGTATTAGGAGACGAGTTGATTAAAGACTCACGAATAACACTGCACAGCGGCACGTCCCACTGTCTCTGAGAAGATGGGTGAACAGGTAAATCCGTAAGTGGGCAAGCCATTTTCCACGCTTCCACGGCATCAGTCAAACACGGCACCTCAAAACTGGTCAGTGACGAAGAAAGAACTTTCCTGACTAATTCAGAGGTACTGTGGACCGAAGACAGAAAAGCTGGTAAACTAATACTTGAAATTTTGCGGACGCCGAGTCCTCCCATGCGAATAGGAAGAGTAGCTTGTTGCCAAGCTCGGTCATCCAAAGCCACATTAAGTATGGATGACAATGTGTGTCTGATAATTTTGTCTACGTTTTCTAAAATGTGTGAATGTTTCCATAGATGTGAAGCGCGGAGAATATAAGTAAATTTTGGTCCAAAACAACAGTACCGAATTAGGGTGAAAGCCGAATGTGTGTTGATTTTGTGTAATCTATCCGAAATGTGATTGAAATTTTGTATCTTGTCCTCGATGAATTTAGGAAAACATTCATCGAATATTGGTGAACCTAGGAGGTGAAGTGAGTACTTATCAATAATTTTGATATTTGGAGCTATTTGATTAAATTTTGCTAGAGTCGTTAGTCTGTCTGTAGAGTCAGGAATGTTCACATTTTGATAAATTTAGGTCAAGGCCAATAGAACTTAGTTTTTCTTTTAATATAGTCAAATCTTTTAAAACAATGTCAACGTCACCTCCTAGAGTTCCGTCGTCTAAATACCATACATTAAATTTGGAATTTAGTTCACGAATAATAGGATTTATAGCTAAACTAAAAATGGCAGGCCCAAGGGGGTCTCCTTGTTGACAACCAACAGCCGATTCTATTAAATTGTCCTTATACAGTAATTTTGAAGGGTTTCTATAACATTGCCAAAGAAAACTGTAAATTTTGGGGATTTCTTTTAGAATTTCAGTCAACAAGGCGTCCCTGCTTACGGAGTTAAAGGCGTTTTTAATGTCAACCTTTAAGACAACCTCACCTTGGTTACTATTTAAAAATGTGGATAGGGCATGTACCGCAGCCTCGCAGCCCCCTTTGCAACCAAAGCCTAGTTGTGAGGGCTGGAATTTGCTGGCCAAAGACTCATTGTAATAGGCGCAGCAAATTTTGGCTGCGATACGCCTGTATGTACAACCTACAGCAATGGGACGAATACCGCCATCCTTCTTACGCAGGGCACATAAGTTAGCCCCGTATAAGACATCGATGACGGATTCGTTCACATTGCCGGAGAGCATTAGATTGATTAAGGCCGTCAACTCCTTCAAAAGGGACTCACCAGCCTCCCCGGCGCTCGAACACACGAGATCTTTCAGATGTTGTGGTGTCAAGCCGTCGAGGCCGCCAGCTGAACCATTTCGAAAGGAGTCAACGTCTATTTACAAGGGATTATTTTAACATTGACTGCCTCGTGGTTGCAAGTGCGACTTCCGGGCAAGGGGTCAATTCCCGGGTCGGGCAAAGTATTATAAGATTTAAAAAAAATCTCAGTAGTAGCACGGAATTTGGAATTGCGCCCGGTATATGGCAATAGGCTCACCCCCTATTCCATGAGACTCATAATATAAAAATTGTGAAAATTGGGTGTTACATTGTACAGTGGTGTTTGTGCACCTCTGCCTATCTCTTCATAGATAAAAGGTGTGATGTTATATGTAATTTTAAAATTGCTATTAGTTATAAGTGCAATTCGCAATGGGTTGTATATAAGTATCTAAAGCGGTCTATAAAATAAAAAATATAATTGTTATTTACCAATTCAAAGCCACCACAAAAATGTCAAAAAAAAATTAAAACCACAAAACAACCAAAGATATAAAGACATTAATTTTCAAATTATCGCTGGATGAGTCAACCTCTGACAGCGCGGTCCGCGGTTCCTTCGCGTCTCGCGTCCCGAACTAATTCGAGTTCATCACAAATGCAGCCGCGCTTATCTTTCCCTCCCCAACTTATAAATTTAATGTCCTAAAGGATTTACGAGAGAATTATAACTTTACAACTTTGGCTTTGTTAACCCTTACTATGTATGTTTGGTTGGATTAAATGTGGAATAGTTTGAAAGTGTGTGAGGAAGAAGAAATGACGGATAAAATTAACGCTTCGTGGGTTTCACACATTCCTAATATGATTTAGATCCATTCGAATCTACATTTTGGAATGAGCACCTAGCTTCACCTAGTTTCACTGTCGGAATGACTGACAGACTATTATTTAGTTTCAAAAGTACCAAATTATGGTTTAATTGAAATAAATGCTTTGACTTTGAATGAGAGGTAGTGTCTATTTCTTTGTGAAATAATATAATATAATGGAAGTGAGGAGAAGTGTGTTCAGTATACTACAACTGAACTTGAAAAAAACAATCAATTCCATATTTATCACATAACATGATATTTAAAAGAAAACCTCAATACTAAGACCTTACCTTGCTAACGAAAATACGAAGAAAGCATCAAATCTGAAGAACTATATGTTGGTCAAATGTAGCGTATTCGCCTTGAACATAACAATTCTTTACATTTTAGTCACGACCTCCTAGAAACGTACAAATATCCATTTTAAATTCGCAAACAATTAGTAGTTCCCGTATCCGACGGCGCTATGAAATATAGAACTAGACTCCTTGGCATTCTTGTGCGGATACTTTCGTCTTATCTGCGACGTTTTAAAGTTCAAATTAGTTTAACTCGAAAGTCATTTAACTTTGTAAGTTGGTCTCGCTGACAGTTGTTTTGTTGGAGTATCTTCAAGTTTAGATGTTCTCTTGTTTGTTTTGATACATCATCATTTTCCGTCATCACCATTTTCGGTGATAACTTAAAGATAAATGTTTGTTCTTAAGTAATGGGCGCAGTTTAAAATGTTTTGTTGATATTTTGTATTCGCGTTCTTGAAATGGGGTTTTTAGTACTTGGTAGTTCCTTTACTGTTTTAGAAGGAACATTTGTGTACTATTTGGATTGTTAAGTCGTACATTTTAATACATAATAATATGTGCTTACACAATGAAACTTTGACTACACGGTTGGTGCGGTGGCTGGGCAACTGGCTGCCGTGCAACGTGTCGCGGGTTCGATTCCCGCACGGGACCACACTTTGTGTGATCCATAAATTGTTGTTTCGGGTCTGGGTGTCATTGTGTATGTGAACTTGTATGTTTATAAACGCACCCATGACACAGGAGAAAATCCTAGTGTGGGGCAACGTTTAAAAAAAACAAAAACAAAACAAAAAAAACAAACAAAAATGAAATATTAAACAAACCGACAACATCTAAGATATTAGGCTTGACAGACGACGTCATAATCAGCCTTTAAAAGCTTAGGCGTATCATATACGTTCCACGTAGTTAGAGTAGATACGTAATTAGTGAATAATCATTTTGAACGAAGGAATATCATAATATATAGAATAACGAATGAATAACATATTTAAACACTAAGAAGTTACCTAGAATTTTTGTTTACGGTCTGTAAACTAAACGTTAAGCTAGACGCTCTTGTCAAAAATGTTTAAATGAATAATTACAATTCTCTGTAAAGGAAATCCCTTTTTGATGAATACTTATAAACATATCCCCGGCTAAAATCTCATAAGGCTTCGTTTACTCTTTACACGCAAATTCACGAACATATAAAACAAAGTAATCCTACCTTTATCCCTCAAAATATCTCAAATAAACATTAAAATGAACGTAAAACGATCGTGACACGTCTAACCTACATAATTATATGCAAAAACGTCAGTTCAACAGGTCTGGGTAAGGCTCTGCTTTATGTCCTATCAACAAAACAACATCATAGATTATTTAATGTACTAGATACCGCATGATTACTAAATATTTTTGGTGTCCCTTAAGGGGCGCCACTGTCGCTCAAAGTCCTGTCAGTTTTATTAACTCTGATGTAACTGAATAAATTCAACTTCAACTTCACATTTTAGTTTTTTCTTCAAACATAAAAAATGTAAACTGAAAAATAAAACATGTGTCACACAGATGTCGAAAGATAGACATGTTTGACATATAACGTGTCGTATCTAGACAGTTTCAAAACGATATCTGCGAGCAACATGACGTAAGGCGCGCTGTTCATACCACGATTTGGAACACAGGAAATATGTACGAAGTTTGGCGTTTGAGATGCCAAAGTCATTTATTACATGCAGTCTTGAACATGTTTCGGTTTCAAATGTCTGAGAGTTATTACACACATCAAGCTATGCAAAACCAGTATAAACTGACCGTCAAATTTGAGTAAAGATCATATGAGTTGAGGTCATGATAAACTGGTTTTGTTTAGCTTGATGTGCTAGTGACATGTAAATGTTGAGTATACTATTTGGCCGTTAGGTTAGTATTGTAGAAGAATGAGTACTGGTTTTGGCTTTTGGTTCCCACTACCAATCATTCGGGATGATCAATGATTTTGAATATAAAAGTGTGAAAGATGTCCTTCATTGAAATGATATGTAGGTATTGTTTTATTTGTTCTCTCTTAGTTTACAATATTTTTGTGAGACAGTTGAACCTTAATGTGAATTTTTTAAGCTATCTAGCACAGATACAACCACTAAAGTGCTTTAAGAATTATAAACTTTTTTTATTTTATAGTTTAGCGACCCGCCACAGCTTCGCACAGGTGCAGTATGCATGTTTTATACATATAAACATTTCTTAAGAATCACTCTATCTATTAAAAAACTGCATAAAAATCAGTTGCGTGGTTTTAAAGATCTAAGCATACGGACAGACAGACGGCGGATAGTGACTTTGTTTTATCATAAAATTTTAAACACAATATTTAGTGGAATGAAGCACCTTATGGTATGATTATTGTATCTGAAAATAGTTAGGAGGCACTACAGTGATACTAATGCGTACCTATATGCTACATTTTTTGCTTAGTCCATGCGGTGGAACCGCTTGGTCGAACGTGTATACTAAGCCTTAAGCACTGAAAGTCAGCGCCAATTTAAAGGGTGTTTGAGAACTTTATTACGTACTGACAACGGACATAAAAAATTTACTGTACCCTAAATTCTGACGTAAGCCTAATTTAACGGATGATTTTAACTTGACGAGTATGTACACAGGTAATATACAACGTATGTAGTCTGTTAGTACATAATATGGTTACTTTTTTACTGTTCTGTCTCGTTGGCCGAGTGATTACAAGTGCAACTGTCGGGCAAGGGGTTTCGGGTTCGATTCCCGGGTCAAACAAAGTATTACTGAGGTTTTTTTTACGTTCTCAGCAGTAGCACGGAGTTTGGAATTGTGTCCGGTATATGACAATAGGCTCACCCCCTTCACATGGGACTCATAACATAAATAGTGAAAAGTGGGTGTTACCTACATTGCACAGTGGCATTGAGTGCCGTAGTCCACCTCTGCCTACCCCATCAGGCCTTCAGGGATACAAGGCATGATGTTGTGTTATGATTTTTTACTGTCATGATATAGTAGAGAACTAAACATGAAGTCTGATTCCTAGTTCACATGGGACTCGAAACATGTGTAACCTAGTAAAAAGTGGGTGTAAACAATATAAATATGAACTATCTCATGATATAATTCGTCAGTGGAAAGGAAAAAAGACTAAAGCGCCAAAACTCTACTTGTGGCAAAATAGTACCATAGTTGACACATACATACATACATAACATCACGCCTTTTTATCCCCGAAGGGGTAGGCAGAGGTGCACATTTCGGCACTTAATGCCACTGTACAATGTAACATCCACTTTTCACTATTTATGTTATGAGTCCCATGTAATAGGGGGAGAGCCTATTGCCATATACCGGGCACATTTTTCCAGACTCCGTGCTACTACTGAGTTTTTTTTAAAAATCCAGTAATACTTTGCCCGACCCGGGAATCGAAGTCGAGACCCCTTGCCCAGCAGTCGCACTTGCGACCACTCGGCCAATGAGGCAGTGATACCATAGTTGAAATTATGCGAAATAAAATTATTAATATGTTTATAGTCAAGGAGCTTCTGCCAGTGGCTCGCTCGCGTTACTATATGTTATATCATACCATAATATACCTCTATTCTAAAATTTTCCGATCTCTTCAGCCGAAAGTAACAAACAAACGTATACACATTCGCATTGATAATGTTAGAAGGATTGTCAAGCTGAATTTCAGATAAGGGCATAATCAATGGCAAGATCGTCTATTACACCATAATTAGCATTAATTAACAAAATACTCGTGCTAACATTATTTCTACCTAACAGACAACGTTATACAGAAATTATTCAGAAATGCTCGCTCAATTACGTCACATCCGGTTTGGGCCGGACGTGCATTACCGCGCTAACTAGCCCTGTATTATGTACGCGTAGTTTATGAACCTCGCTACAAAGTTAATACTCGCTGTTATTTAATGCTTTTAACCGCATAACAAGGTTATATGACAATTAGATTTGATCGTGTTAATGGGGTCTACCGCATTTTTGCCCACCAGATGATAGTAGTGTGAACCTTTTGTTCTCCGTCCAATAGGAAATTAACTAGTATCACACCATAGGACGTTCGATATTTGAAAGCTGCTGTGATTTGGCGAAACAATCCTTTTCTATATTTGAGTTGTTCTTTGGTTTTGTTAGATTGAGTGGACTGTTTCTATGAACAAAGTATTTGGCACGGGGATTGGAAATATATGCATCCCCATCATATACTTAGATGGCTGGCAGGTCACAACTAAGAACACGACCCGGGAATCGAACCCGATACCCCTTGCCCGGCAGTCGCACTTGCGACCACTCAGCCAACGAGGCAGATTTTAAGACTAATTTTAAACTATTTGATCATTAAAGTAATTATAACTAAAACTCATAAACATGATCTAATATATAAAATTCTCGTATAACAGTTTTCGTTGCCATACTTCTCCGAAACGGCTTGACCGATTTTGATGAAATTTTTTGTGCTTATCTTTGAGAATCGGCCAACATCTATTTTTCATCCCCCTAAATGTTAGGGGTAGTCCACCCATAATTTTTTTTCGAGATTACGCATACGTAGTCGCGGGCTGAAGCTAGTATATCTATAAATCACTTCGTATCCCATGGTCACTTACACCAAATGTACAAAGGATACCCAATGAGCTGTCATATAATTCGCTTGTTTAATGGACCCCGTAAAATTGACAGGTCTCTATTATTAGCCCCCGATCAATATGAAGTGTTTTATGGTCGGCACCTCAAAATTAACATCCATCCAACCATAGTAGGGTTTTGTACACTCTTTTGATCCTATCTTCAAGGTTCAATGGATATAACACCCTTTTATAAACGTCTGAAGTGCGAAAATTGATTGATATTTTACATTTGGTTTTTAAGAGAAATTGGTGAGGTTGAGTTGAATTTACTCTATAGAACACACAGTGTATGAAAATTATAAATGTAATTAATCCGTCAGCTAGATAATGAAAAAATATTAGACACACATTTTTCCATTTTTTTGTAAAAGAAAACAATACAATTAGATAAAACCCTTTATATGTTCTGTGGATAAAACGGAGTAAAGTTACGTTACCCTATAAAATGTAGTAAATCGTGACGTCACACAATATTCACACACGATATTTCAGATCAATATATCTTCAAAAGTATTTAATTTTGTGAGAAAAGAAAAAAATAAGTGTTCAAAGTTTTAAAATAATCTACCAGACGGACATTTTAATACAATTTAGGAACTACCCTATTGTGTGTTAAGTAGGGTATTATTTTTTTAAAGCCATTATATAGGTAGTTTTCACTTTGTGTAAGGTAACTAATACCTTTAATAATAAATGAGTATTCGTCCCTTTACTCCTTTAAACTATATAGTTCAAATTACTTTTACAGAGATAGTTTTACAGTCGAAGTAATGATGAAGAAACTCAATAAAAATTTGGTCATACATACCACTTGAATATCGGGTTGCTCTCACACTTGCCTACGTCTTTTTTTATTAAGGGGTGAAAATCACCGAATGATTTCTCCCGCCTTGGTGTGGCAAGAGGAAGTGTCAGACTCTTACTGACTAAAAACTACGGCGTTCCTTCTCCTGCATTTTGAGCGAGAGCCCCGGCAACCCGTTAAGTCTTCCGCGGCTCCATATCGGCATCAGCCCTATCGGACTCCATCCGTGGTGGACTGAAGGCCTGATTCTTCAGAGAATAACAGAAGTTATATT